CCCCCCCCCCCCCACCCCCCTGGCACTGACATAGCACTAGCAGCGTGAAATACAGGCTCTCTAGCTAAAAAAGCTAAAGGTGCCTCTTCCTTCATGCTGAACAGCCCCCGCCCCCACTCAAAAACTCTTGGTACAAGCTGCACTCAGACATGTCTCTGTCCCTCCCCATCAACAAAAATCATAGATGAGATGAGCACCCCGCCATAGCAAGTTAACTAGGGGAAACACTGAAGTATGAGTCATGTCAGCAAAGTCCATGCTCATTAATCCAGGTATAAAATCCAACATTTTTCAGTCAGGTCATCTGGACAGTGAGTCATGTCTTTTCCCAATAACTCAGCAAATCTGGTAAGGCTCAAATGTCCCATCTTTTCACTAGCCTTGAAAGCAGCATTCCTTTGTGAATCTGGAGCAGTAAAAAAGTCTCAGAAGTCACCTTCACAAGCAGCTCATTCGTGCACTTGTGTTGACTGATTTGTCCACCACAGGTGATTTGTCTACGCATTTAACAATTGATATGTGCAAAATATTCCTACTTGTGCAATTTGTAATGTGTACTTTTGAAAAAACTGTTTATCCATTTGTAAAAGTTGTGGTATGCTTGTGGATCTTATTGTAAGCGTACAAATCTGGGACTACTTTTGAGACTAATTTATCTTCATAGATCAGACCTAAGACAAAAAAACTGGTCTGGTCGTCTCAAAAGTTCCTGCTTCACTGTTTTTTAAACTTTTGTCAGATATTTCTGTGGTTCACTGAAGTATATTTACAAGTATATCTGATGTCTTAGATTCTAAAAAAGTCAAATTTCAGCATTTAAGAACTTTTCAAATCACTTTGGCTTGCTATCAGTGAATCTCTGGACCAAATGTATGAATGAACGAATGTCATCACACAAAATACAACAATTATTTCATTATGCTGTCCCTGAGTAAAGATAAACATCCTACACTCTGCGGTGCTGAAGATGGTCCAAATCCTGACTAATGGCAGCCCATTCAATCATAACACCTGTAGTTTGTTAGAATTGTGGGTTTTGTCTTGAGTATTAACCACCACTTCTCAAGACTTCAGGACCAGGGTGTTTCCAGGCCATGGACCCTAAACTTATTTTTAGTCCCCGAGTCATTCTGTAACCACTTTAGCCTCGTAGCACGGTGCGCCAACATTCTAGAAAAGTCATTAACAAACTGTTTCTGAAAGTTTTTGAGGTGCCTTTCTTGTGCTTTTCTGAGCTGTTAGGTTTTATCTTTATTTTTTTTATAATTAAATCAAGTACAAACAAATCTTAAGAGTTTGTGCTATTTCAGACATTTAATTCTAAACGCCTTCACAAGAAGACCATTTAAACGATCAACACCAAGAAAGCACCAGTTTTTCTTCTCGTTTATATAACGTCCAGGTGCCTGCCTCATGTTGATTTATGTTAATCTGTTCTGCCCCGTTAATGAATGTTAATTATGAACATTGGATGCATTTATCTCTTTTAACAGACTCTCTCAGAGAAATCCAAAGAGTTGGAGAAAGTGCGTTCAGAATGGACAAGTCAGAGCAGTTCTCTGTCCAGCCGTCACTTCGATGAGTTGCAGCTGGAGAGGGAAAAGGTGGCTGAGGTAAGACTTACCTGTGCACAGGTTTTCATACGCCCATCAAAGGCGGTACGTGTTACGGAACGGTCTCTGTCTGTCCATAACTTCTGATCCGCTTAAGATAATTTAATGAAACTTCATACACATATGCAGCATCACTAACGGAGTGTTGTTTGCACTTTCCATCACCCCAGCTTCAAGGTCAAGGTCACAAATCAAGGTCAAAGTTAACCAGTTCTTTGCTTTTCTTGGCCATTGCTATAATGTGTTCTTTTAAAATTATACACATTAAGATGCTGAGCTGCTATTTATGTTAAAAAGACAACACTAAACACTTGCACGTTTACGTTGAGCCTCCTTTTAGTTTAGCATGCCCTCATCTCTGGCCCTCCAACAAAGAAGACTTTATCTGCATTAAGAGCACGGTGTGATGGGTCCACATTGGGTTGTGAAATAGAGTTAAACTCTTTGTGTAATAACTACCTGCTTAGAGACAAAAAAAAATTGTTTTATTTTTAAACATGTATGGTGGGGCAAAGAGCCATTACCAGTGAACAGACATTCTGCTTGTAGTAATCACTTGCAGAATCAGAATCAACTTTATTGTCATTGCACAGTTAAGCACAGCGAAAATACATTCCAGTACAGCCGTCCAACAAGGGTAGACTGAAATGCACGGAGGCTGCAGCTTCGTGTGAAGCGCTGCCCTTATCACTTACTGTAGATATCTACAGATACTGTAGATGACTACTGTTCTTACACCTAATCATGAATAAGAGCTGTTTATCCTTTGTTACAATGGCTGCCTAAAATGGCAGAACATAACTATACCACATTAATACATTCACATATAAAAATACTGTATAACTACATTTACAAAATTATTCAGAATCATCTTAATGTAGGTCTGCAGTAGCTTTGCGGTCAGTGCTGCAATCTCATAATCTTGAGACCAGGTTGCATCACAAAGATCATACGAGGTTAAACGACTTCTTAAATCTTTTGTGTCGCTCGCCGTGATGACCTCTGAAGAAGGGACGAGTCGGGGGAGAGCAATCTGGAACATCCCCACAGAGCAGACTGTAGATCAGACTCTGGTCATTGCTGGGAGACGTTTCCCCTGAAACGGTCTTGTTTGTTTGGTGTTTTTCAGTTACAGAGCCGGTTTCAGCGTGAGGTGGAGCAGCTACGTCAGGAGCTGGAGAGCGCTCAGAAGAAGAGTCTGCAGCAGCTCCAGAGCAGAGTGATGGAGCTGGAGAGCTCCTGCAGCGAGCTGACCGAAAAGAAATACAAGAACGAGTCCATCATCCGAGACCTGAAGGTCAAATTCGTTGGTTCAGAGGAGGTGGGTTAATGCAAGGGGAGCGGGTGTGATGGGATATTTATCATTTTTATAGCAGCTTATGTCTTAGTCACTTATGCATCCCTATACCTTCAGAGAAACTGGCTTTTAAACTGTGCTTATAACAGGCTAGATGGTCCCTCTTCTCTTTACTGCAGACAACTAAAAATGTTTCCAGAGCTAAAGAAAGTGTGTGAGAGAAGCTTGGTGGCTCCAGGGGAAACATTTATGTTTTTATGTCATTTCACTGTTCACCTTTATCCGCTCATCAGAAGCCGTAGAAACTGACCTCAGATGATTGTCTTAACAGGACCAATTTCACCCCAGACCAGACCTGTACCCTGCTGGACCTTTCTTTGTCTTTCCACTACTAATTTCAAGTTCAGTGACAGATTTTACAGACAAATGTATGGTTGTACCGTGAAATCTTCAGTGTCACTGATTGTGGCCAGGCTCTACATGAAGGAAGTGGAACAGAGAGCCCTGGACTCCTTCCATGGAACAACACAGAGTCACTCATTCAGATATGTGGACCATACCTGGGTCAGGATCCAGGCTAAGGAAGTAGTTTTCCATACGCATCAGCTCTGTTGACAGGTTGGAGCTTATGGAAGTAATGGAAATTATTGGAGTCTGCTACAGATGTTTAAAGTATATGTTACAGTAGCTGATTGAAGAAAGGAACAGTACCATATAGGGTTGGGTGATGGTTGTGATTAAATGTGAGTAATAGGATAGGCAGACTTTTAACAATGTCATGTGGAGGTGGACGAGCTCTCAAGTTCATTCAACCTTTATTTAGACAGGTAACTCCCATTGAGCCTAGTAGTTGGTTCTGATATCCAAATCAGGTCAGATACTTCTATCGAAGAGGCAAACTTGAAAAAGAGTGTGAGAGAAGATGCCAGTGTAGTAGGTGGTAGTAGTCAGTTGCTGGTACTTTTTGTCTACAATTAATGGCAATAATGAATGACTGAAGTCTGTGGAATATAGAGGAAAGAGTCCAGTGGTCATAACAAGGCATTCACCCAGAACTTTTCATTTCAGCAGACGTAATTAAACTAACTGCATTTTAAGAAGTCAAACTTTTTTTATGTATTTGCACAACTGTGATGCATGTGTGCAGGAGTGTAAACGTTCAAAGCAGCAGGTTCTGACTCTCAGGAGGGAGAACAGCACTCTGGACACTGAGGTCCATGAAAAGGAGCGTTTGGTCAGCCAGCTGCAAATGAGAGTAGCTGTTTTGGAACAGGAAGTCAAAGATAAAGATATGCTCATGTGCCGCACAAAAGAAGTGTTGGAGGCCACTCAGCATCAGAAGGTAAGAGCTTCTTTGTTTGCTGTAAGTGTAGAGCTTTTATTTAATTTTATTGTACTCTATTAATTGGATAAAATGCTTCTGTAAACCTCAAATATTTTTATTGTTGGGTCAATCAGAGCTAAATTCTGACTGAATGATGAGATGAATGTCCTAATGCATGCGCAATAATCCAGGTCAATAAATCTAACAAGGTTGAGTCAGATCCTCTGGATGGGTTCTTTAAAAACCTGTCCAGAGGACCTCACTCAACCTTGTTAGATATGAAATTAACCTAATTTTATTTAAATTTTGCCCTTTTCTGTTGTTTTTCAGGAATCAGTGGCAGAAAATGCAGAAAGTAAAGAACTGCAGATAAGAAAACTAGAAGCAACAGTGAAATCTCTGTCAGAGGAGCTAATAAAGGTTTGTAAAGCTGGACGCATGCTCAACATGTAATTTACACAAACTCTAAATGACAACCTGATGATCAATAATTCAGGTTTTGTAGGGTTGAGGTAAGATTTGGTTATTCTTGGGAGCTTTTGGTGAACAAGCATACAATAGGTTTCCTGGAAGTTCTGCACGAATGTGATTATAAAATGTTTTATCTGATGCCTAAAGTCTGCTTGCTGCTTGCCATAGCTACATGTTCAAAGAGTTATCAGAACCTCTACGTCCTCTGAGTCAGGTGTGGACAAATGTTGAGTCTTCAGATGAAAAACAAATCTTCCAGGACTGGCCGAGGAGCCAGACCTTGGAGCTAGATTTATTAAAAAAGCAGGATGCTAATAAAGAGATGCTACGATGCATCAAGGATGATTGTCCTGTTGGTCCCAGTTTGGTTCAAGCTTCAGCTATTGGACAGATGGACTCACTTTTGACTCCAGAACCCTTTGGTCTACAGAGGAGTTCATGGTCCACTTAGTGAGTGCAAGGAGCCCAAACCATCAGCCCTCCACCACCATGCTGATAGCTGGTATTTGTGCTGCCTCTATGCTTTGGTAATGTTTTTGTTAAATACTTGCATGGTGTGATGTTTCAAGGGTTGTTCAATGAAGATTTTATTAATTTTTAAGACCTGGTAAAAAAAAAAACAGACATATTTTAATATATCCTTTAATGGAAGCTGTTAGAAATCAAGGGCCATTTTCTAGTTACCATGACCATGAAATGAAAGGTGGTTGGTTTGAAAAGACTGTACCTCTGAATACTGTTAATTAAAGAAGTTTCTGCTTCATTTTAAATGCATTTCTTTCTTTTTTTAAATTTGATTTAGGCTAATGGTATAATCAAGAAGCTGCAAGGAGAGGTCCGAGGTCTTGTTGGAAAAATCAAAGTGAAAAACACGGTGACTGTGTCCCAGGAGAAGGTTCTCCAGGAAACACAAAGCAAGCTTCAGAGCGTGGAAAAGGATCTCCAGATCACTCAGCAGCAGCTCGTTACCAAGGAGGAGGAGGTAAGAAACATCTAGACACACAGCTGCTGCTAACCTTTTTCCTTTTTTGTATCGTAACACATAAAGCAGACACTGGGTGGTTTATATGTTCAAACAGGTTTGATTAAATCTATAAAACAGGGAGTGTGGTGTTTAATCTTCATCTGCATCAGCTGGATAAGAGAATATTTATTTTATGAAGACGCATCTTAAAAAAATTAGAATATCATGAAAAAGTTCCTGTTTTTTTTTTTGTCAATTACTTCAAAACGTGAAACTCATGTATAGATTCATTACACAAAGACCAGAGGGCTAAGCGATCCATAGTCTTTGCTGTTGCTGAGGCAAAAGCTCGGATGTGGGAGGAGCTCTAGGAGGCCTTGGGTAAAGACTCTGATCGTCTCCGAGGAGGTTCTGGCAAACCATCAGGCAGCTGAGGAGGAAAAAGCAGCACTTTACTAACACTGTGTTCAGTGAAGGTGGGGTGCTGTTGATCTCAACCAGTGATGTCATCGGTAGGTGGAAGGAATACTTCTCAGACCTTCTCAATCCCACCGGCACATCTTCTAAGGAGGAAGCTGAGTCGGGGACTTTGGAGTTGGTCTGTCTATAACCGTGGCTGAGGTCGCCATGGTAGTTAAGAAGCTTCATGGTGGCTGGGCTCCAGGAGTGGATGAGATCCTCCCTGATTTCTTTAAGGCTCTGGATGTTGTGGGGCTGTGTTAGTTGACACGCCTTTGCAACATCGCATGTACATTGGGGGTAGTTAACTGGATTGGCAGATTGGGGTGGTGGTTCCACTCTTCAAAAATAGGACTGGAGGGGTGTGCTCCAATTACAGGGGCATCCCTCTCCTTAGTAAGACCTGGTAAGGTCTATTCAGGGGTACTGGAGAAGTGAGTCCGATTGTTGGTCGAACCTCAGATCCAGGAGGAACAACGCAGGTTCTGTTCTGGCTGTGGAACACTAGACCAGCTCTTTACCCTCACTAGGATCCTTTAGGGGTCATGGGAGTTTTCCCATTCAGTCTACATGTATTTTGTGGATTTGGCGAAGGCGTTTGACTGTGTTCCTCAAGGTACTCTATGGGGGAGTGCTCTGTGAATATGGGACTGGGGGTCCTTTGCTCTGGCCCATTTGGTGGCCGCAGGATTAAGTTATCTATTTAAGGAAGCCAGCAGATTGATCTGAATCTTCACTTCGTCACAGTCTCCCATCCTGAGCAAGCACAAAGGCAGTAGTGGAAAGGGAAAAAATGGGAAGAAACCTCCAGTATAACCAGGCTCAGGACGAGCGGCCATCTGCTTCAACCGGCTGGGGTTTGAGAGGAACAGGAAGGAGAAACAAACTGTTATGGTCCTGATGTCCAGGAGTAAATCACAGGATGCACAACATATGAAGCCCAGCTATTTGTGATTTTATTTAAGAGTTAATCATCAATCACCTGAACAAAACAGCAAACTGAGAGCCCCAGCTAAAACAAACAAAAAGAGAGGGAGAAGCCCTGAACCAGCCCGCAGTTGACCGTCGTATTCGAGCCTCTCCCATCGCCCTGTGGTCTGAGGACTAACCCTACAACCAAAAACACAATAACAGCTGGTAACTTCCAGTCCCAATGACACTCAGCTCAACAATTGAGTGAAAAGATACAACCATCCTATCTACAAAGAACCAGGAGGCTGGAGAGAGAAGCCAGCAACCGTCAGCCCACCGTCTCCTCTGGCCTCCTTCATTCTTCCAGCTAATGAGAAGTCTAGAGAGAGCACATGAATTAGTCAGGCACTCATTCACACAAAAATGACACAGGCCCACATCACACAGACCAACAGAATGGCAGGTCCAGGTGTCATTTTTTTTAGATTTTAGAGACTTCATGCTTCCTTCGCTGACGAGCTTTATGGGGATGCTGATTTCATTTTCCAGCAGGACTTGACACCTGCCCACACTGCCAAAGCTGCCAAATGCTGGATATGCACTGGTAATCTAAGTTTCTGAGGTACTGAATTTTAGTTTTTCATTTTCTATAAGCCGTATTCATCAACATGTCAAAAAATAAAGGCTTGAAATATTTCACTCTGTGTAATGAATTTACGTATGTGATGAGTTTCACTTTCTGAAATGATTAACTTGTTTTTTTTTTACGTTTTCACAATATTCTAATTATTTTTTTTTTTAGATGCGCCTGTATGTCTGATATAAAACTATGTTCACATTTTCATGAACTTCAACTCCAACTTCAAGATTATCATATTTGTTTTTTACTTGATTAACTTTAACTGATCATAACTCAGTATGATAACATCTTACACTGTTCTGCCCAAAAGTGACAGGATGCTGAAACCTTTAGGACAAACCGTATTTGTTTTTCTCCTGAAGAATAGACGGGTGTTTGTTACCTGTATATGTAGGTCCTCCTTGGTCCCTGTGGCCCTGGTAATTGACTACACCTGAAGGAGTTTCCTGTAGGGAGGGACAACCTTGACAATACTGTTTTGTCTTGCAGGTTTCCAAACTGAAGGAGCAGCTAGAGATGACCGTACAGAAGTTAAATGAAAGCAGAGAAGTGTTAAAAACTAATGAGAACGGTGAGGAAGCCACTGAATAATGTCTTGCACACCTGATAACAGGGTTGGGCCAAAATATCCATCTGTGTATAAAATGGATTAGCTAATCCCAGCAGGTTCAAGGCACTGAAAAACGTTTTTGGCACGCTGATGAAAAGTGAAAATAAAATTAGCAAAATGTGTGCTGAAGCTAACATGAATAAAACCATAGCTATAATGAGCAAAACTGTTGCAAAAAGGAGGGTAAGAAAACAAAAGAAGAGCAAGTGTGCTGAAACAGATTTCAGACAGTAAAGTTTTTAAATAGTTTAGGAAATTTGAACCTAGTTCTAGTAAAGATTTGTGAATGACTATGAAAGAAGTAGAGCTTAGTTCCTGTAGGTGTTATAGAGGAAGTGGTGTTCTTTATTTGAGGCAGTTTCTGCACCTTTTCAAACGGTAAACTACAGACTGGATGTATTTTGGTGTTTTTTTTAGTAAAGTGATAAAGATTAAACATAGTTCTTAACGCTGTCTTTTTTTTTTTACCACTGCAGTTATAAATTGGCTTAACAAGCAGCTAAATGAGAACCAACTGTCCAGAAAACCACAGTCTCCTGAATGTTTGGAGAATCCGTCTGTGTTGTCAGCAGCGACAGGACTGAAGGTACGACACCTTTACTGGTTTTTATCACCCACTGGCAGCCAAAGGCCAGGGAAAAAAAATTATTTTCTTCATACCTGTGTGTTCGTTTGTTTGCAGTGTTAGCAAAATATCTCACAAACTAGTGGCTGATTTTAGTTATATTCTCAGATGGTAATCACTGTAAGTTCATTTACAACACAACAATTTTCAGTCAGGTCATCTGGACAGTTTTTTTTTGGTATACCTGGATTATTAAGCATAGACTGTTTTGGTTTTGAACCAGTTTGACAAGACTGTCAACGTAGAAGAGGGCCGGCTCCAGAGGAGGGGGCATGCCAAAGACACCATCTTAGCACCAACATAACTGGTTTGTTCCACTTTGGAGTAAGCTGTTTGTGGGAAGAATCAGCTGTGTGTTGCAAGTTTCTGATGAAGCCTTCTGGATGGAAGGTGAAACGTTTCAGCGCAAAAAAACTAAACTGTCCAGATGACCTGACTGAAAATTGTTGGATTATATACCTGGATTATTGAGCATGAACTGTTTTGGTTCATTTACAACATATTCAAGGTGGCCACTACAGCTAACAGTCTTTAAAAACACAAACTAGGCGATATGCATTCCTTTAAGAAAGCCTAGTGTTTGATTATTACAGAGTGAGTCACGTCTTTAGCTGTTAGACCTTTGAGTTTTGAAGCTGTGACTGTGTTTTGTTTAGGCCCAGTTTCATCCTCGGCCCAGTAAACCTGCTGATCCAGTTGGACAAACAAACACCAGACCACTGTGAGTTTACAGGGGATTCAACAAGTTTTTAAACAGTTTAACTTTGTGTATGGGTGGTGGTGGTGATCAAAGGAATAAATATAGTAGTACCATGTACCAGTAAGTATTTTTATCCTTTAGTGATGTCAGTCTTAATCTACTCATGAATAAATGCTGAGTCAGCATTGACACTGTTTTCAGCTCATTTTGGACCTCATGGCTAATATTTAGGCTTTTGTAACTTTTTTTATTCTTAAAATATTAAACTACATTTACATGATGTTTTTCCACTTTGAAATCTACTTCAGCATATTTTTTCCTTTTGTATCTTTTTTGTTGTCTGATTTTTTTAAAACTTTTTTACAATCTTTTGGTATGCTTCCAAATTGTTTTTTCATCTTCTTATGCATCATTTTGTTTCTTTATGCATACGTTGTTTCCTTTTTGTTCTTATGCATTATTTTATATCTTGTGCTTTTTCCATTCTGTTCTGTTGGCTTGCACTTTGTTTCTTCTTTGTCTTCTACCACTACTACTAGTATTACTACCACTATTAATATTACTATTGCTGCTACCTTTACTAGTACTACTGTTACTACAGCTATTATTACTGTTACTGCTACGATTATTAGCACTACAGTGTTACTTGTACAATTACCACTACCTCTATTACTACTATTATTACCCTTATTGATATTACTACAATTACTACTACCACCACTACTATTACTAGTACTATTATTACTGCTAATGTTACTATTACTAATACTATTATTGCTACAGCGACTATTACTACTAATGCTAGGAATATTACTACTAGGAATATTACTGTGGCTACTGTTACTATTGCTACTCAATTATTGCTACTACTACTATTACTAGTATTTCTACTAGTACTTACTAGTACTATTATTACTGCTACTATTACTACTAATATTACTAGTACTATTTCTACTAATACTATTACTACAGCTACTATTGCTAGCACTACTGCTACTGTTATTATTATTATTATCATTATTACTGATATTATTACTACCTTTACTAGTACTGAAGTAGACTTTTTTTTTGAAGGCTAAAATGTGTATTATTCAAAAAGCCAAAGGTTTGCAATGGTCCAGGAAAGCTGGAGAAAGGCTTATCTACAGGGAATCATTTATTCTCATTATGGAAGTGGAACCATGTGATTCTGGACCAGGAGGGGAGGAGGTGTGAGCTGCATCAAACAGATAAGAGAAAGGGAGGTTTGTACTGTGTTGGCAGAAAGACCCAGTACTGTGTATGTGAAAAATAAGGAATATGTTTACTTTGCAGGAAGTGCAAAGGCCATGAGGTCTGGGACAGAGCTGTGTGCTTGGGTCGAGTTGACCTGAGAACATTCTCCTTATGAGTGTGTGTGCGTTCGTGTATGTGTGTGTATCAAATAAGAGTAAATAAGAAAAAAAAGAGATTTGCAATGATGCACAGAAAGGGGTATAAAGTAATCTGTGCATGTCTGTAAGATTTAGTTTTTTGGGTCCATTCTTCAAGATGCTGTTCGAGTGATGACTATTTTGAGCTCTTCAGTAAACCCCGATTTATTTATTTTTTGCTGTCAATCAGAGATTCAGTGTCATCTATTTTTACTTGATGATCAGTGTTGAATAAAGGCCACAACAGTATTACCAATAATAAAACTGCTATTATTACTACTATTGTTACCACTGCTACCACTACTGTTACTTCCACTGCTTTTACTACTACTACTACTGTTATTACTAGTAGTGCTACTGGTACCATTAATACAACGACTACTATGCTTACTACTTTACTTTAAACTTTATTGTCATTGCCATAATAACAACAATTATGAACAGCAACAAAATTTTTCATGGAGAATCATACACCTACACATTAGTGAATTAGCACATAGTGGTACGAAAGAAGTTTGCAAGGTTCTGATGAACACAGATAATAATACAACATATAAGGTCAAGATAGAAGAAAGGAAAACTGTAAACAGCCAGATGTTGAAGGGTAGTAGTTGGTTGCTGCAGCAATGCAATATCCATTTCACAGTTATTGTCATAATGCGATTTGAGATGTAAGGGTAGTGGGCGGGGTCACGGAGAGATGCTGTTCGTTTAATAGTCTCACAGCTTGTGGGTACAGACTGTGAGACATTCTGGTAGTCCTGGCACCTATGGACTGGTACCTTCTGCCTGAGGGTAGCAGGTGGAAAAGGCCATGTGCAGGATGGTACCTGTCCCGCAGGATGTTGTTGACTCGTCTCAGACAGCGGGTTGTGTAGATAGTTCTGATCTCTGGGTGGGTAATCCCGATGATCTTCTCAGCTGTTTTGGGGCAGCTGTGGCTGAGTGGTTAGAGCAGTCGTCCTCCAATGCGAGAGTTGGGGGTTCGAATCTACCAGCAGTCACATGCTGAAGTGTCCTTGGGTAAGACACTGAACCCCTCATAGCCTCTGTTGTGTGTCCCATCAGTGTATGAATGTGATCTAAAGCACTGATTAGTCTCATTAGAATGATTTATTCAATTAGCTTTGTAGAGATCTAGTAGAGTGCTGTATGAATGGGTAAATGAGGACACAGATTGTAGTGTAAAGCACTTTGAGTATCTTTAAATAAGATAGAAAGGCGCTATATAAGTACAGTCCATTTACCATTTAAGCACCCGCTGAAGAGCCTGCTGGTCTGCCTTAGTGCAGCTGGAGAACCACACTAGGAATCCATAGGTTAATACACTTCCAATAGCACAGTTGTAGAAGTTGATCATAAGCTGCTGAGGAATTTTGGCCCATTTCAGTTTCCTCAGAAAGAAAATATGCTGCTGGGCTTTTCCGATAGCTGAGACACTGTTAGTACCCCAGGTCAGGTTCTCTGTCACACCCAGAAGTTTGAATTTTGTGACCCTCTCAACCACTTCATTTCTGATGTAATGGCGAGTGGGTGTTTTTGTTTTGTTTGCGAAAATCTACAATAATTTCAATGGTTTTCTTTATGTTAAGAACCAGGTGGTGGTTGTGACACCATGATTCCAATTGTTGTACTTCGGCTCTGTATGCTGTCTCATTGTTGTCATTGATGAGCGCCAGCAATGTGATGTCATCAGCATATTTAACAATGAGATTTGATGGTGAAGAGGCTGTGCAGTCATGAGTGAGGAGATATCCTGATGAGTGAGGAGAGTATAAAGTGATGGGCTGAGCACACAGCCTTGTGGGGCCCCCGTGCTGATGGAAAGAGTGGAGGAGGTGTGCTTGCCCATTCTCGCACACTGTGTGCGGTTTGTTAAAAAGTCCAAGATCCAATTGCATAGAGTGTTGTTCAGTCCAAGATCATGTAACTTTGGTAGGAGTTTGTTCGGCCGTATGGTGTTAAAGGCTAAACTAAAATCGACAAATAGCAGCCTAACATATTTGTTCTTGAGCTCTAAATGTCCCAGAAGTTTGTGGACTGTGATAGCAATGGCGTCTTTTGTTGATCTGTTCTCCCTGTATGCAAATTGATAAGTGTCCAGTGTTGGTGGTATAGATTTTTTCAAGTATTTGATGATTAGTCTCTCTAGGCATTTAGCTGGTATGGAGTGAGTGCCACAGGTCTATAATCATTTAGGCAGGTAATATTAGACTGTTGGGATGGGTACTACTACTACTACTACTGGTACTACTAGTACTACTAGTACTACAACTACCGTTATTACAACTACTAGTACTACTACTGTTAGTAATACTAAAATTACTGCTATTGCTGTTGTTACTACTAATGCTACTACTATTGCATTACTACCACTACATTATTACTACTACTACTGTTATTACTACTACGATTACTACTAACATTAAGGGTTCAGCTGTTATTCAACTGACTTTCTCCTCTTCCGTAAAGCCACTCGGCATCCATCACACGTTTTCTGTGAAAAAGCTAATGCCTGTCTAGTTTTCTTTGTGTCGTGGAGTCTGATTGAAACTGAAGTGGTTTTCTCATCTTGTTAGTGAGGACTCTGCTGGTCTGGATTCAAAGTACTTCAGAAGAGACGACAGCATCCCAGTTTATAGTCTGTCTTCTAATCTCATTCATGGAGGTAAGACTTCAAGACACCTGTTGCTCTGCTGGGACAAAAGCTTCAGGGCCTGTGAAAGAAATAACACGTTAAGATCCAGCGTTTATTCTTTGTTTGTTTCTTAATCAGAGGATCTTATTTGGCCAGTGTTACTTTATTATTGTTGCCTTTCAAAATATAAGTCTCCAAGCATCTCACATTTGAAAATGCTAAAATTTGGGTTTCTTTTTATTAATTCTGAACAAACATCAATCCTCCTAAGGTCTACTTAGGTTCACTGAAGGTATACTGTTGGTTCACTGTATTTCTACTGTAGGTGTCAAGTCAAGTTAGATTTATTTATGTAGCACATTTAAAACAGACCGTTACCAAATTGTACTGAGGTTCACCGTAGTTCTACTGTAGGTTCAGTGGAGGTAATCGGTTGATTCACTGTAGGTCTACTGTTGGCTCAAGGTAGATCTATTGTAGGTATACTGTTCGTTCAATGTAGGTTTATTGTACATCTAATGTTGGTTCATTGTAGGTCTATTGTTGACTCACAGCAAGTCTACTGTAGGTATACTGTTTATTCACTGTAGGTGGTATACTGATGGTTTTCTGTAAGTTTACTGTACATCTAGTGTTGGTGCGCTGTAGGTATACTATAGGTTCAATGTAGGTAATCGGTTGGTTCACTGTAGGTTTATTGTTAGATCTTCAGGTCTCTCTTGTAAATGAGTCCTCGTGGCTCAGTGGGACTAACCTGTTTAAATAAAGGTTGAATGAATGAAAAATTTATGTCTAGGTACAGTACAATGTAGCTTCACTGTGGGTCTACTGTTGATTCACTGTTGATTAACTGTATGTCTACTGGTATAACGTAGGTTCAATGTACCGGCAGGTAATTGGTTGGTTCACTGTAGGTCTACTATCTGCTCAAAGTAGGTCTAATGTAGGTATACTGTTGGTTCAGCGTAGGTAATCGGTTGGTTGGTTCACTTTGGGTTTGTTAGTCTAATGTTGATACAGTGTAGGTATGCTGTAGGTTTACTCTAGGTTCATTGTAGGTAACTGGCTGTTCACTGTAGGTTTACTGTATGTCTAATGTTTGTACATGGTAAGTATACTGCTGGTTCACTGTAGGTATACGGTAGGTCTACTAGAACAGGTCACACACAGTAAGGTCAACTGATGACTTCATTATAAAACTACAAAAAAATTAATTCAGCTGTGATCAGAGTCCTTCAGGCCAAACGTCAAAGTTTGACTCCCAAACTTTTCTGTTAGAAAGAATTTTGTGAATTTGCACCCCCACTCAATTGTTTTATCCAAGCTGAAATAAAAAGGCAACGCAGAACTAAATAAAGGCTTTGCATTCCTTGAGGGAATTCATATTAGTGGTGGGAATCCTCAGGCATCTCTTGATTTGATTATGTACTAATTATTGATGTGTCTGTATTCACACTTCAAATAAAGTCCTGTGCAGAAAAGCTCTTGTACCTAAAGGCGTCTTTTTCTCTGCACAGCAACAGAAACCAATTTTCATTTAAATAGAACTTTAGGAACTAAATGAACAACAGGCTGAGAACAGAGACAAAAGGTTCTGTGGTCCTGGACGTCCAGTTAACCCAGTCATGAGAGCACGTTCCCAAGAATCAAACCCACTATTTTAAAACCTCTGAACTGCAGCTTTTATTTCTGTTATCTATTTTGTAAATTATATAATCTATTAAAACGACATCACTGTGGCACTATTTTTAAAAATCATTGAAGTTGCATGTTATAAAAACAACGGTTTAGTTTAGATCATTCATTTACAAGCAGGAAATAAAGTCTGAGGAGTGGATAGAGGTTTCTGCCCACATCTGCAGACTTTGTTTAATGCAAGTTTGGATTGAAGAGCAAACATAACTTTTGACTAACAGAGCTGATGTGATCTTTATTTTTTTGTTTGTTTTTGTGCAGATGTTCATCAGCGCCCAAAGCCTTCCATAACTTCTGCTTACTTCCCTGCGTGAAGCTGACTCTGCTGCTTCAAACTTTTCACTAAAGTCACATCCTTGTTTCTTGCCTAAACATCTGTACAAAAGTGATCATTATTCTTAAATAAACTTGATTTTAAATAGCTGTGATTGTTGTGTGGTAGATATTTTTATTTCCTGCTGTACTTCACTCATGAAATAGGTTTATTCATTCTCATTTGTTCTCTTGTTTTAACTTAGCAAGTTTAACAAAAGGTGTGAGTAAACCATTGGCTCTCTGTAAGCTGTTTGGATTAATGTTTCATTCTGAGGTCAGTCAACAATTAAAACAAAAACCAATTATTCACAGAACTTTGGTTTCTGGGAATTTTAAATGTTCTGTTACAAAGACTCCAAATCTGAGGCCACGGTCCTCGGTCAGAACAGGGTGGATTTCTCTCTCCAGATTAGGAGTTATGTTCTGCCTCAAGTGGAGGAGTTTAAGTACATCAGGGGTTTTGTTCACAGTGAGGGAAGAATGGAGCGGGAGACCATCAGACGGATCAGTGCAGCTTCAGCAGTATTGTGGACTCTGTGCCAGTCCATTGTGTTGAAGAGGGAGCTGACCTGCAAGGAAAAGTTCTCCGTTTACCGGTCTGTCTACGTTCCTACCCTCACCTATAGTCATGAACTCTGATAAGGATGACCCCTAGATACCTTAGGGAGGTGTTCTGGACATGTCCAACTGGGATGAGACCACGAGGAAGACCAAGGACATGGAGAGACTGTCTCTCAACTGGTCTGGAAGTACCTTGGAGTCCTTCCAGAAGAGGTGGCTGTGGAAACAATGTCTGGGCTTCTCTGCTCAAGCTGCTTCCCCCAAAATCTGAGTCCAGAACAAGATGATTATTAGATGGATGGAAGGAACAAAGTGTAAAATAAAAACCTTGTATTTTGATTTTGTTTATTGCCTAATTCAATTCATTTCAAAAATACTTTATTAATCCCAAAGGGAAATTATTTGTTGTAACTTGTTATCCTCCTTTCATTAAGAGATGTTATAGACGCTGAGGCTGTAGACAGGAAGGATCTCTTGTAAAGGTCCATCCCACAATGGATCCTAAGAATCTGGCTGCAGATGCCGTCCGATTCGTCCACCCAGACTCTGCTGCCTCTCAGTTCCCCCAGGCCGTAGGAACCAACTGTAGATGCCGAGGGACGATCCTGTCCTTCCGCTGTCATGAGCCGTGTTTCCTGCTAGTTCCAGGATCTCAGTGGTCAGGCACTTGAGCACAGCTGGCAGGTAGATGAGAATGCATCCACAGAACATCCTTTTCAACTCATTTGAGATTTGGGGCTGTAATCGAGATATTATTTGTGCTTTTGAGATGTTGATCAGCTGCTGTTAGTTGTAGAAAACTGCCTTGTTGCCATGGTAACGCATCATAACAAATGTCCAAAACTAAAAGGTTTCAGTAAAAATCCTTCCAGCTGCACAGCATCTGACACCAGAGGAAACAATCATCCAAAAAATGTGATTCACCTCCAGAAAAACAGGAATTCAAAGTTCCCAAAAGCAAAATCTCAGAATGAAAGTAACAGCTGCTCCAACATGCAGCCACCTTGAGCGGCGCAATTCTAGAATTATTTAACAGTTGAATGAATAATGAGACCTCCGTCAAATTAAAACTAGTTGCTAGTTGGACCCTGCACAATTTTTCTCCATAAGTGAAATGAATGACAATGAACAAGTTAAGAGGACTCCCTTACCTCGGATCTTTGTTCACGTCAGGGGGTGACTGTTAAAGAGGTCAAGACCAGGGGCCTCATGTACAAAGACATGTGGATTTTCTACTGATAAGAGGCATATGCTTAAATCAAGATAACCGCGTACACACAAATAATCCAGAAGTATGAAACCATGCATACACATATATCCAAGCACACTTCCTTTTTACATCCCAATCCACTTGGAATTGAGTGCACATGAAGGAATCCTCGACTCTTTCATTGACAAGCCTTCATTTTTAAATATGCAGATAGATTTAAATCTGCATCTGAGGAATCTCTTCTGCACTATTGAAAAGCATGTTTACACAAGGGGGAAAGAGGAACATCACAGAATGTGGGTTGGAGACACTTCTAAATGATAGAGGCACATAAAAACATTCTGTTTGACATGCTGGACTCTGGCATTAGTGCCAAGCGCAAGAGGAGTGAGTGGGACAATGTGTGTGAATCTGTAAATGCTGTGGGGTCTGAGCAGCACACACACCTGCAGAAATTAAGAACAAACAGACATACTAGGACAATTCAAATAAATTTACTCACCAAGAAGCCACCCATCCCGCACCGTGCCTGCTCGTAGTCTGTTCCCAACCAAGGGAACTCTTGTCAGATGGGTTCCTTTAGGAAAAAGCTGAAGAAACTCATAAGAGGGCATCCTTGTCAGTAGTAACATCCACAGGGCTCCCATTCACTGTCCTCACATGCTGAGGATCAATCCAGGTGGAGGATGCTGCTGAATGATGTTCCTGCTGCCTCCATGGCACTAAGCTAAAGGAATGATGATGATGAACTGGTGAATCTTGTGTTTGATGCCAATCGGTTGCAGGTCATCACTCCCAAATTATTGTCACGTGCCCCCATGGAGATTTAGGTTTTTATTTCGGCACAAACATCAGGAAGCCAGGCTGCAAAAGCATTCACCTCCCTTAGTTTTCTTTCTATTTGGTTAAACTACAACAAGGAATTAAAATAACTTTGTTTAAAGGCAAAACAAAAACTACTCCAGATTAAAGATGTTAAACTTATTTAGAATCTGTTGAATACATGAAATGGGGTGTGTGCAAACAGTATGTATATACTCCCTCTGCTGTGAAGTATGTATTCTTGTTAAATGTCTGAACAGTGAAAGGATTTAGGTTACTTTGCCTTTAGACAGTTTGAGAGAGCCCAGGTGATGATGTCATTGCCATGGAAGCTTTTGATTGGTTAGTTGACAACAATTGAGTCAATTGGAGGCAGACCTCAAACACGTTGCTTTTTTGTGAAGCATCATGAGAAAACTTAAAATCAACCAAGATATCAGGAAGTGAATCCTCAACATCCAGACCTGGGTTTATCTTTGGGTCCAGTTTCCAGGTGTCTGAAGGGTCCACACTCCTCAGGGCTGACCCGATGTAAGGGGCCCTATGCAAACTTTTGACCCCTTCCAGGTAACCTTATCCTCTGGTCTCCACCTCCAACATCTGTTTATATTGTCCATGCTTCACCACCTGTGCATTTAACGGAACCAGTTTATCACAGTGAGCCAACAAGGCTCCCCTCAAACTTCACATCATCTTACAAAAATAATAGGACTTCAAATAAAGCTTTCATTTTGAATAGTTTTTAAATAATAGTTCTGTGGCCTTCTTGATCATTTAAGAGTTGAAATAGTCCAATTAAAGTATTTGAAAGGTTTAAAGGATGATAGATTTTTTTTTCTTCATTACAAAAAAAATCCAAACCAATCCTGTTTTTTCTGCTGTTGATGCAGTTTTAGGTACTTTGTCCTTGTTTCTACAGTTGACCTTTAAATTACACAGCAACACGGTATTTTAGACTACCCATAAAAAAAATAAATCTACATTAATGAGCTAATGCACTAGTTCGTTCAAAAATATTCTAGTCATTTAAAATGTGATCCAGACATGACAGCCATAAATCCTGGCACTGTTTATCAGGAGGTCAAAGGATACTTCAGACACTGGATGCAGCTGGCGTCACATTTTCTCTGGCCTTAAAACCAGATGGGTTTAGAGTTTTTAAACCCAGAACAATGCTGAAGACAACTAACAAAAAACTTTCAGTATGGCCACCATCTTCTGTTTCTGGATCAGCTGGTTGTTCCCAGAACAGAATCTATTCATATCTAATATAAAACATGCAGGTGGCAAACCCTTTGTCACGTTTCTAAAATTTACTGTGATTTTTTTAGTCACAAAGTTTCTGTCAGCTCTTCCTCACAGTTTTAAAAATGAACACAATCTGCATAAAACCTAAACCAATGAATGACATCTTAAGTGCCCCACTCTCAGGACACATTAAACTAAACAGCTGACATGCACTGGAACTAAAAACATCAGAACCAAACCAGAAGACAGACAGGTGAGTTCATACAGACTCAAAAATATCTTCCTCTCTCAGAATCTGTCAGACCTGTTGGTTCTTCATGTCCTAAATGAGGAGGAGTCTGAGTCTCACTGGACAACCATCCTTCTATTGTCTTCACTCATTTCTTTAGGTCACATGGAGCTTTTGTCTATCTCCAGTAGTCACTGTGTGAGAGGCAGGGGACACTTAGACAGGTCTCCAGTCCATCACAGGGGAACAGAGAGTCACTCTCACTCTCACACCTGGAGTTACCAATAAGCCTAGCATGCAGATTGTGCATCTGTCTGTGGGAGGAAACGGAAAAAAAAAAACTTTTGTGTACATGAAGATAACATGTAAACTCCACTCAGAAGGGTCAGGAGGCAACATGTGACCTTGCCGTGAGTCAACAATATCAACCACTTCTTCATTGTACCGCCTTCCAATAGATCCAGTATTTGGAAAAGGAACAATGATCACAGCAAACCATCCAGAAGAGGGTCATCCACTGAATTCATAGAGTGGTAAGGAAGTCATGAATCAGAGAAACATCTCCATCTTCTGTCAAAGTCAGGTTCCAGAGGCAACAGGTCCAGCAGAGGAACCCAGACCTCCCTCTCCAGCTCCACCTAGGGGACCCCAGCGAGTTCCCACCAGAAAGGATACATAATCCCTGCAGAGTTCTGGATGTGCCCCACGTCTTGTTTCAGTGGTACGTGCCCAGAAAACCTTCAGAGGGAGGTGTCCAGGATCCATCCTAATCAGATGAACCACCTCAACTGACATCTTTCGATGCAGAGGAGCAGTAGCTCTACCCCGAGCTCCACCCAGATGATGGAGCTCCTCACTCTGTCTCAAAGGCTGAGCCCCAATGAAGGAAGATCATTTCAGCTGCTTGGATCCAGGATCTGGTTCTATCAGTCCTGTTCCAAACCTCATGACCACAGGTGAAGGTTGCAACAAGGACCAAGATTCCCCTGATGGAGAAGATCGGAGACTCCCCAGACCTGTTGAAGAAGATGCTGTGGTCAGATGAGACCAAAATCAAACTTGTTGAATACTTTTGCAACCTGATTTAAGATACACAAACGTGTATTTTGAAAATGTTCTCCATGTGGACTGTGTCTACAGAGAGATTGAAGTGGTCAGATCTGAACCGGTACAGTACCAAGCACTGAAGTGAACTACACCATGTTTCCAGTCTTGGACTGATTGTTGTCGACTCGTGCCTGAACTGATTCAAACTGATTCAAACAGACACACTGCCCAGCGTTAGCCTAGTGCTAAGGTAATTCATTCTCACTCTTTCATTTATGGGCAACTTAACGTTGCCACAGTCTGCATAACGTTCAGAAAATCATTTTTGCAGGCATTTGTTTTTCAGCCAAATGGTGGACTGGTTTATTTGAAGTAAAATAATCAGAAAAAGTGACAAGAAGCAACAAACTGAGCACAGTTCATTAGAAAAATATACAGTCACCATTAAAAACCACAACTTCAACCGCAGTAATTTAATCCAACTGGTGCCACGTCTCATTCTTCAACCACGTGGGCTTAAAATGAAATAAAATTATATTTACTGTTCCAGAGAGGTTGACTTGTTGATTAAACTAAACAACATGGAAAAGACCTGAACTTCAGACCTGTCCAAAGATGTGGAGGGGTTGTGGTGGACCATCATATTGAAGGAAGAATGTGGTCAGAAAAACAAACCTTCAGCTTTAATTTTTCAAACCTAAAGAGAATCCAACGTACTGGTTTTGAACGGATAAAGAAGTTTGGAGCATTTCTCACGACTCAGTTATTTCAAAGTGCAACAGGTCCGTCAAGCAGACCAACAGTTCTTTTAGTCTGGTTTTGTCTCTGCAACACACCAGGAAACAGGTACAGATTAACTCCACCTGCTCTTATATTAACCAGTAATCCAGAAACAAACAGGTGGCCGAAGCTCCAAGAAGGCCCAGAAATACTGGTCTGACTTTCTACAGAAGCCTGTTTTGTTGTTGTTCTTAGGAAATTGACTGAGGGATAAACAGTGTACCTGGAACAGAAGGGATGTCAGAAATTTACAGTCTTTTCTGTGTGATTATTACCATTTTTAAGCAATAGTTACATCAGCCATAATTACACCTTCATTTATAACAAGTGCTATACTAAGAGTTAACAGAAGCTCGTCTACTGGAAGATGTTTCTGTTTCTTAAAGTTCTGACTTCAGTTCTTGACCTCATTATCGTCTTCCTGGTACTAAAGCCTTTCTGATGTCCGGTTCAGTTCAGATGCAAGTCCAGACTCCACCGTGAGCTCAAATCTGCCCTTCAGCTTCAATCATTGTCAGTCACAACGTCTGCTAAAAGTTCAGAGCAGGTCATCGGCTCGGTCCCAAGTGTAAACGTCTCTGAAGAACTTTGTACTTCTGTTCCTAATCGATAGATTGCAGTCTCTGGAGTTTCTTTAGAGGGGAAACATACTGAATATTTGTGAAGAATCACACATGGAAAGCCTCTGTGTTGGCAGAGCAGCCTCTTCTTCCTTCAACAGTGGATCTCGTAGGCGATCTGCGACTCCATGAATACGCTTGTGTGGTTCAGAAACTCTTCAGCCTCTGATGTGATTACAGGTTCTGCTTCCCCTCCTTCCCCCGCCATCCTCTTTGTCATCTGTATGCCACTGTCCTGCAATTGCTGCTGTTTGATCAGGACAAGAGTTGGGTTTGTGGACAGTCCTGGCCCCACGGAGAGCATTTGACTGGAGGTGTCCAATGGTGCGTGGCAGCCCAGATTAGTGGTTGAGATATCTGTGAGTGAGGCAGGAGGAAGCACGGGTTTGGCTTTGTTGAGTACATACATTTCATGGCCTTGCTCGTCACGGTACTCTTCCAGCTGGGCAAAGATGGTGGGCCCATCTGAGTAGTCATTCACGTACAGGATGCTTTGTTCCTGCTGGTTAAAATTCACCGTCACTTTTGGGAAACAAAAACAACAGATCTAAAAGGTTCACACTTTCCAAATACTCTGTTTCATTGTAAACATAATAAAATCCTAACTCACTGTTTTGGTGCCACATTTTTCTCAATACTGTATTTGAAGGAATAAAATAGTATTAGTCACTCATATATTCTGATGTTAAATTGAGATCTGCCTTCTCCCTGTAGCACAATGTGTTATGTAACTTTGTGAAAGGCTATTCTTCAATTCTAGCCAATTATGTTTATGTTTTGATAACACCAATTCAAAACAAAAGTCATCTCATGGCACTATACAAAATAAGCATAAAATACAAGTCCAAATTATAAACCTAATACAGATCCGGATTAAAATCTAGTAGCGAGATAAAACTTAGAGAGCGCAGGATAAATGTTCATTGTTATGCTGATGATACTCAGTTATATTTATCCATGAAACCTGATGAGTTCAATTGTTTACTTAGATTACAAGCTTGTCTCAGAGACATAAAAACATGGATGTCTTTCCTCCACTTGAACAATACTGTAATTCAATTCAGTTCAATTCAGTTAATTCATATAGTGACAAGTCACAACAGAAGTCATCTCAGGGCACTGTTTAAAAACATTTGCATACATTATAAATGCCAGTTAGTAAAAGTTATCTATCTAAGCAAGCCAGTAGATTGCGTTAAACCTTCTGTTTGTCACAGTCTCCCATCCGGAGCGAGCACAAAGGCAACAGTGGAAAGGAAAAACTCCCTTTTTATAGGAAGAAACCTCCAGCAGCCATCTGCTACAACAAGCTGGAGTTTAAGAGGACAGGAAGGAGAAAAAAAAAGAACACAGAATGGCAGATGCAGGTGTACCCCCTATTGGAAGAAAGACGCAAAACACCTGTTAAGGATATAAATAATTAAAAATAAAAAACAGGTAGAGTAGAGCAAGTAAAGACAGCAGCAGAGTGAGGAAATGTGGTCCATTTTTCCTCCAGTAGTCAAAGCCTATAGCAGCATAACTAAAGGATAGCTCAGGAAACCCAAGTCGACCCTGTCACTCAACCTTTATTTATACAGGTTAGTCTCATTGAGTCACGAGGACTCATTTTCAAGAGAGACCTGTCCCTAACTATACCCTAACTAGGATTTTGCAAAAAGGAAAAGCTTAAGCCCAGTCTTAAAAGTATACAAGGTCCCAGCCTCGTGGACAGAAACTGAATGTTGGTTCCACAAGAGAGGAGCCTGATAACTGAAATACCCCATTATTATGACTATCAGTGTATTCAATAATAAGGCAGACAAAAAAAAATCTGAGAATTCAGACAAAAACTGAGAATAAGGGCCTGGTGAACAATATATATGACAACTAGTAAAAGTGGCTTTTCTGATTTTCGTTTTGTATGAGAAAGACTGAGGTACAATGACTCAAAAGAATTAGAAAGATTAGTTAAAGAATAACTAATAATTGGTTTAGCATTGTTCAATATTCCTGACTGAAATATAGCAGCTATTCCTCTACCTCGACCTGTTGACCACAACCACTATCGCTGAAATTAGAAACATCTTGTCCCAAATTGATGCAGAAAAACTGTTCCATTTATTAATTCTAGACTGGACTGTTGTAATTCTTTATTATCTGCATGTCCAAAAACCCTTTAAAAAGTCTTCAGTTGATCCAAAATGCTGCTGTTAGAGTTCTGATGAAAGTTACAAGGAGATATCATATCTCTCCAGTTCCAGCTTCTCTATTAGCTCCCTATCAGAATTTAAAATCTTCCTTCTAACAAGCAATGCTCTCAACAACCTAGCTCCATTTTATATTAAAGATTTTATTGTTCCATATTTTTCCAACAGCGCTCTTCACTCTCAGATTGCAGGTTTACTTGTGGTTCCTATAGTTTCTAAAAGTAGAATGGGAGGCAGAGTTTTCAGTTATCAGGTCCCTCTCTTGTGGAAACAACTTCCAGTTTCTGTCACCTGGTCTACTTTTAAGACTAGGTTTAAGGCTTTCATTTTTTATAAATCCTAGTTAGGCTTGACTTGGGTTCCCTGAACTATCTCTTAGCTCTGCTGCTATAGGCTTAGACTGCTGGAAGACAAACTGACCACATCTCCTCACTCTGCTGCTGTCTTTACTTGCACGACTTTTCATGTTTGTGTTTGTATTTATTTCCATCATTATGTTTTATTTGTCTTCGTTCCATAGAAACTACACTTGGACCATAGGACCCACACCTGTACCATAGAAACTTCACCTGGACCATAGTAACTACACCTGGACCATATAAGCTACACCTGGACCATAGAAACTACTCCTGGACCATAGTAACTACACCTGGACCATATAAGCTACACTTGGACCATAGAAACTACTCCTGGACCATAGAAGCTACACCTGAACCATAGAAATTATACCTGGACCATGGAAACTGCACCTGGACCATACAAGCTACACCTGAACCATGGAAACTACAACTGGAACATAGAAGCTAC